GAAAGACTTGGAGATGAGCATAGAGGACTAGCGAGACGCAGACACTACCGCATTCGCAACGGTAGGCTTGCGTGGTTGTATCAGGCGGCACAGCCGCAAAGCGTAGGCTCCTAGCGCATTTGTACGCCTTTATGTCGGAAAATAGCCGTTGTGGTTGTGAAACCAGCTTCCAGGGTGAGGTTATTTCAGTGTCTCATGGTCAGTACACTGGTCTCAAAATGCGCCTTAGCGCTTTTACTCAAGTTATAAAACGCAGCTGTAATAGTGCGGGCACTTGGGAAATTGCTCGTCGGGTCAGTACCTTTGCGGGTTTACACCTTTGCTTCTGCGCAAATATTTCTAAAATTGCTTTTATAAACAAATCGCTCGCCAACAGTAACCTGTTGAATGAGTTTCGATGAAGTATGGGTACCATTCGCGCATGAATGTGAGCAGCCATGAGCCAATGGTGCCCGTGCTTCATGCTTGTATATGGTTATCCCCAAACTCATTTTACGGGTAACCATAGACAAACACTGATGGAATAGCGAGTAAAAAGTTTTTTTAGAAATGTTAAAGAGAAAAAATACAAAATAAACTTAGAAAGGTCTGATCCTACGACCTTTTGCCCAAGAGCCCGCATCACTACCGCTGCGTTCTCAAATGAAAAGAAAAAGGGCACAATATACGGAGGCATCCTCCAGAACTAAGCCTAGGAGAGCTCCGGAGGAAATGAAAATGGCTAACGCACCTTGGAGTCTCTCCTCCCCCGCCTAAGGCTTAGTCCCGTTTTTAACAAAAAAACATGTTTTACGCAGTTTGAAATGCACTGCCACCACAATGCCCCGTATATTGCGATTGCGCTGAAAAATTGCTACTGAGGTCGTAATGTTACATCGTTTTGGTTCTACTACAGAAACCCACTTTTTCACTTTTAGAAAATTCATGGAATGCGACGTAATGCAACGCTCGGAACTGTCTCATACAGGAGTTTCCCTTCTATCTCATTCATTGAGCCATTATTCCAAAACTCGTCCCATTGACTTGTCACTAGTTTCAAGTAAAAGCGCCAATTCAAAAGCGCTCTGTGACTAGTGTACTGAAACACTGAAACGAACCCCATCCCTGCAAGCTGGTTTCACAACCACCAAGACCACCTTCCCGACATAAACGCGTGACGAATATGCAAGGAGCCTATCCTTACAAGCCTACCGTTACGAGTGCATTGGTGTCCGCGTCTCGCTAGCCCTCTGTGCTCATCTCCAAGTCCTCTTGCCTCGGCGGCCAAATGTCTCTGTGACAAATAGGATTGAGAGCACACTCGTCGTCTCAAATTTTTCTGGATCGCCTACTGTTGGTTCCAGATCTCAAAGTAGAGTTCTCAAAATATCAGTTTTTTCGATTAGCTGATGGAATCTAATATATTTCCAGTGATCAAGCGATCCTCTATGTCACACGCATCCAGTGGACCATATCTGAATTTACAGTTAGCACCGCATTCTTACATGCCAAGAATTTCCGCTTCATCCGTGTTTTCGATCGGTTTTACATTATACGAAGTTATACGTTTACAAGTTGTTTACCACCTGTTTTTGTTTTTCAGCTTCGATGAAGCGCCGTGTGACAGTGCATTTTGGAGATGTACGTGTGGTAGTTCCATGCCTGCATGAAGACACAACTGTTGCTGACCTTGCCGAAGCGGCTATCATTAGATATAAGAAGGCTACAGGGAAGGTACGAGACAAAATCAAACCACTTTTTTTTTACCTTTTTTTTTTCTTTCGTGAGTGTTTAGGTGCACAGAAGTGTTGTGACTGGTTAGTTTGTTGACTGCTTTTGATTTTTTTTTGAACAAAAAAAAACAAAGAAGATGGGAAGTAGTAAGCAAGAATTGCACTTGTATGAAAATTGTATTTCTGTAATTAACATCAGGAGGTGGACACTGGATAATACTTTTTAGGACTTAGGACTTTTCTAAAGTGATTTTCTCCTTCAATAGATCCACACTAAATCCTGCATGCCAGCAATATATCAAAAAGTGTCCTATTTGCGAAGGTTTTTTGACTCCGCCCTTTTCAAAAATAAGAACGATTGAAATGGATATTTGTATGCAAACTTGAACGGTTGAATTAGTTCGAAAACCCTCCATAAAGTTTAACAAATATGTCTGTTTTCCTGAAGAGAAAACTGACGTTAACATGTCGACGATTACCTTCAAGGTGAAGGTTTTACTAATTAGAACGCGCCGCGTGAAATGCGTCGAGGGGGCGGGGGCGGGGGCGCACCCATCTAATAGAAGAGAGTAGTGTGGAACACTTATATCAATCACGATAGTGCTGGAATACATCTTTATATCTCCACTGAGAATGCGAAACGCACGTTATTCTACGACCACACTTTGTAACCCTGGTCCTATGGCGAAAACGGCTGTCACCTTGCTGACTCTTCACTTTCACCAATTCCTTGCGATTGCCATGCAAGCCCTTGGCGAAGGGCCTTTCAGGTATCCGATTTTGTACGGAATCCCGGGTTGGTATCCATATCTAATCGTGCACTCAGAGCCTGTGCTCTGAATGTTGATTAGATATGACCGCCCTTCCGCAACTCCACTTCGATTAGATATTGCCTTTTTGATTAGATATTATGAGTGTTCCCCCCCCCCGAACTACATTTTCGAAGGCAATCCACTAGAATTAAGGTAGAGGTGGCCAGCAATGTCGCAATAAAGGAAAGAGCATGAGAAACGGTCCAGAACCCGAGAAACGGGGACCCTTCCTTGCCCATTGGTTTCCGCATTGGTGCGACTGCCATCGGGTGCGTCTTTAACGCTAGCGCTCTTTCTGCTGAATGGCTAGACATGCGGGTTAACCTGCAGCAAGTGGATAATCAGCCGGTGGGTGTACCGCGCCGATAGCGCTTCGGAGTACCGTGCTACGTCGCCGGGGCGTACGGGAAATTGTGGGTCGGTCCGCACCCTTAAGGAGTCCGCCTTTCCTTCCACTGGATATGTTTCTCTTTTTTTCGACCATCAACCTTATCAAAGAATCCTCGAACGCATCTTTACATCACCAGTAGCTCGTGACATCCTTAGATTCATTTTCTCTTGTTTCTTGCTTCTTCTGTGCAAACCATTGCTTTCATGGCTGCGCTGTTTGGCGCTGCACTGTCGTCCCATTGTTTTGACCTTTCCACAGTTTTTTGAATCTGTTATCTTCTGGGTCATTGCTTCAACCTTGCTAATCTCTGGTCGTACTTCAAGTGCGGAGAAGGAAAGTTTTTCATGACCAACACGTGGATTCCAATGGGTCGTTAACGTCAGCCGAAACGAATCCGCCTATCAATTTTATCGATTTGGTTTCGAATCTCTTGTTTGTGTAGATCTGGCAAAAATTCCGGTTTTGCTTCTGTTTTTCAGATTATTTGCTGCACGTTTCCATTGTCTCGGATATTTTTTGGTTCAATTATTCTTCGTCGAAGTTCTCTTAGCTTCCAATTCGATTGTTAATAACTTTTTATGAGTTTTTTGAGGGTATAGAAACTCTCATAAGGTTTCGTTTAGCAGGTGAAAATAACTGAAATAGGAATACTGGGTTCGAGTGAGGTAAATAGAGCTCCGTTTTCGAAGGAATCCTAGCCGGGAAAATAGTGATTGTGTCTCACCATAAATCACTGGCTTGAGACCCATCGTTCACGATAAGAACGAAAAGAACAAAAAATTGCGTTGTTTTGGTAAACAATTCGAAAAACCGGAAGGACTGCTACGCGTTCAAATTCCCGCCGGACATCTGTCACAAATGCTGGCGGTGGGAACGCTTCCACTTGGTTCACGGAGTGCCGTCACTAGGAACTCTTTTGATCTTTTGTCTTCTTGCGTTAACATCTCATACTTCTACCGCATCCTATTCATGAAGTTATCACTGGGGCAATTAAAAGGGATCAGTGATAAGGATCAAAATCATGACCGCCTTGTTTCTGAAGTACTGTCCTAGACATGTTTCCTGTAAAGATTCTTTTCGCAGTGACTCGAAGTGATAACTTTTTTGAGTAGGTTCAGGACAGTATCTGAGAAGCGAAACAGCTTCTTCAAGGTTAAAGCTTTTCTGTAGAAGTGAACTAAATGCTTTTTTTGGAACAAGAAAGCCACGGCTCGAATACCGTTTGATTTCAGCAAATCCTAACTAACGAAAGTTCACACCTTTAGGTATTAGATTGAATCATAAGTAATGCCCGCTCTCGATCCAATATTTGGAACTTTGTGACTTTTCTCACATCTAATATTATTAATGCCATACACAAGCGATAGCAAACCTCTTTTAGATTTGTGCAATCTTGACACAAGAAATAATTTGATTTCTATTTTGAGGTGTTCACCATTATCTTGGCTCTCTTCCTTCGATTGAGCGAGGGCGTGGACAAATGGTTGTCGGTTTTCGACGAGATCATAAAAATGTAATTGTAGGGCAGAATCAGGATGCCAAGTTTCTGTATAGTCTTCTGACTTTGATTTCCGTCATGTGGTTGGGAGTAGCCATCCAGATGAATTTCATCTACAGAGAACCGCAACATTGTGAGATTCGCAGTAAGACTGCCGGCTCCAAACACTAGATTCACTGTTTTACTGGGAAGGAAGAGGACCCAAATGAGCAGATGGAGTAAGGAGAGTGAGAGCGGCTGTCGTCATGGTGAAGGATATGGTGTTGTACGTAATTTGACGATACGATCTCTCTTCTACTCTAATGACCTAGTCTGCGCCCACTCTTTCCCTACTGCTGTAACATGCTGTGTTTTGGATCCTTTTTTTTAAATGTAATTTATTTCATGGGGTTTTTTTTTCTGTTCGAGAATCCAAAACCATCTGCCCTGGCAGTCTATTTGATTCACAATTTTTTTGTTTCTTCATCTAATCCTGCTCTGCCGTTCATTTGCCGTTTCAATTGTGCACCGTTAGAATTTGTATGCTTGGCCAGGTTGTTGTGTCGATTTCAGGAATTCCATAAGTTTTCTCAGCCCATCATTTTTCCTGTTTGCTGGTCGGATGGTTTTTTCACCATTTACGATGAGGGAAGAAACTACGATGTTTACAATCTGATGAACTTGAATATTCATAATTGAAGTTTGGGAAGATTCCTTTATGCGTGCGGCAAGGTGATGGGATCCTACTAACTATAAAGCGCTTCGTCTGTCGTCTGTCGTTCTGTATGTCTGTCACGAAATTCCCTAGCTCCTCGGGATCCGCCCTGGAGGGACCGGGTCAAGTGTGGGATGGGTGGGCAAGGTCTCACGTAATACAAAACACACATCAGCTAAGCGGAGCCCCGCCCACAGAGGGCGTGGCGTGCGTCGAAATGAATTGTACCGAAGACCAAGATTTCAGTTTCAGTGGGAAAACAGCCTCGAAACTGGGCCAAAAAGTGGGTGAAGGTGTACATTGGTAAGTCACATCAAATGAGGGAGACCCACCCCCAGTGGGCGGAGCGTTCTCCAAAAAAGCGGTGCTTTGTGAAAAATTTCAAAACTCGGTTGGGAGGAAACTACAGAGCAGAAAACAAAATGATGCAGGAGAGCAATGTCTAAGGTGTGCCCAGCATACACGAAGTTTACGGAGGCCCGCCCACAGTGGGCGGAGCGTGCTCTGAAGTGAACAGCATTTTCTACGAGTCCTCATAATTCGGGGCCGGAGACGTCTTAGTGAGCCGGAAAAAGGTGGATAGAGGTGGGTGGAGGAGTGGAGGTCAACGGCATTGGTGGGCGGGGCATGACCAAAAGTGGGCGGAGTTTGCGACGAAAATTTATAACTCGGTTCCAAGAAGTCCCGGAGACTGGGAAAAGGTGGATAGAGGTGGGTGGAGGAGTGGAGGCTAACAGCCATTAATGGGCGGAGCAAGACCAAAGTGGGCGGAGTTTGCGACGAAAATTCATAACTCGGTTCCAGAAGGTCCCGGAGAGTGGGAAAAAAGAAGATATAGTTGGGTGGGGAAGTGGAGGTCAACGGCCAATGGTAGGCGGGGCTTGGCCAAAGTGGGCGGAGTTTGCGACGAAAATTCATAACTCGGCTCCAAGAAGTCCAGGAGGCTGGGAAAAAGGGAGTAGAGGTCGGCGAAGGAAAGGAGGTCAAATGCTATTAGTGGGTAGAGCACGCACCTAAGTGGGCGGAGTTTGCCAAAAGTGTCGTAATTTGGTTCCAAGAGGTCCCAGAGACCGGTGAAAAAAGGGGGTAGAGGTCGGCGAAAGGAAGGGGGCCAAATGCTATTGGTGGGCAGGGCACGCACCGAAGTAGACGGAGTTCGCCACGAGATTTATTGTCCGGGCCCGAGGACCGAGAAAAAGAGGATAATGGTTGACGAAGAAAGAGCGGATAGAATTTAGCGGAGAATTCAGATATTCGTATTGTATCAAGCCAAATTTGAAAATTTTCGTCGCACCATCAAAATTCGCCACAGATCTGTGTTGCGCGCGCAATGCGTGCGGCGCCAACTGGTAATATATAAAAAGTAGAGGGGATAGAGAGATATAAAGGAGTCCAGAAGTTTTATAGCGATTTTTAAAAGTTTCAAAATTTCTATCTTTGAGAACAAAGGAAGGAATTAGAGGAGTACTTGATTGTAGCTGTCCAAAATTGTGTAACCTTATTAGGGTAACGTTTCGGCGCTAAGGCACCAGCTAAGTCCTTCGATTATAGTCGCCCTTGCATCACGGCTGCGTTGGTCATGGCTCTGATGAAGGCAAATAAGCCGAAACGTTGGCCTTATGAAGTTACCTAATCTTGAGCGGCTACAATCTCCTGTTTTTACATCAATAACAGGAGGTTTCCCATTGG